ATAAAAATTCTTTTAATAATAGACATCATGAAAACCATACAACACTGTCTAAATATGTATGGGCACAAAAGAACAAAACTGGCAAATTTCCTGTGATTGAATGGAAAATAATAAAAGCATCACATGTTCCAAAAACAACATTGGTATCTTGTGGCCTATGCTTACAGGTAAAATTTAGAATTATAACATTTCCAGAACAAAAACGCCTCCTCTGCAAAACATCAGAGCTTAGCAAATGTTGGTAAATGAACAAGTTCCTGTTAAGCAAGTTTACCTCTGATTAACAAGAAAAAAACATAAATAAATAAATTATATACAGGGTGTCCATAAAGTTCGTGTGCACTTTAAAAAATGTATAACTTTATTTGTATTTGCGATAGAAATAATTTGTAAAAAGGATTAGAAAGAAGTAAATCTATATGTTTTAAGGTTTTATTGAAATTTTATTTAAGTTTCCACATTAGCAATACAAAGGGTAATATGATTTTGCATTTCATGGAAAACATTTGCCAATTGATTTACAGTAATGCCTGAAATCACATTAGTTATTTTAGCTATACTTAAAAGTAGGTACATTAAACTTTATAACATTTTTTACAGATTATTTCTATCGCAAATACAAATAAAGTTATAAATTTTTAAAGTTCACACGAACTTTATGGACACCCTGTATGTGAGGACTAACCTATTCAAACTCAATGGAACTAACTTATTCTGAGTGTTTGACAATCAGTTTTTTACTATGAAAATTTTAATAACAAGTGTACTTGGTACATTTTAATTAAATGAAAAATGTAATATTTATACTATACATACACACACACACACACATATATATATATATATATATATATATATATATATATATATATATATATATTTATATTGAATCTATTGAAGTTGGTTGTTAACATTTTGATATATTCCTCCAGTGTGAGTAACTGGAAATTCTCCACTTGTAGTTGCTTGAAAGGACTCACAGATGGCAGGATCCTTTAAGCAGTTAAAATTGAATTTGATTCTGATCTTATTTGCCTTAGCAATCTCTTTAAACTTAACTTGAAATCAAAAGTTCATAGTCAATCCTTATGTCAGCACTGGGGAATATCTGCATTTTTGCTTTGCTTCAAATGGAAACAGTTCTGGACTAGAATGTAGTCTCTCTGAGTATGATAAGTTCAGTTTTGGTGCATGCCAAGTCCAACATCAAAATGACATAAACTCTCCAAGTCTCATCTTACTTTCTTTCAGTATCACTTATTTAGAAAGATTATTATGCAGGAGACAACACTGATCTATGGTTTTGATTTGTTGTATGCAATCAAGCCAAGAAATAAACAATTCATCAGGTCTTAATCTTTTTGAAGAGTGAAATAGTAATCATGGCAATTTAAATGTGCTAAAGAAATGCTATAAAAGATTTTTTTTTGTATGGCAGGGGACAGTGACTTTAGTAACAAGTGATCTTGGTACATATTAATTAAATGAAAAAATGTAATATTTATACTATATATATATATATTATATATATATATATATAATCTAAAGAGTGAGAGGGAAAGAAAGAATGTGTAATTATATTTTGATTGATTTGTTTTAAATGACTTATAAACCTTTTGCAAGTTGCATAATTATATAAATTGCAATTCATATTAATTTTTTCATAGAAATAAATATAAATATAGTGGCCAGTATTTTCAGTCCCTATTGTGGTATATTTTTGTAAGTAACTTTTTAATCTGTCTCTGTTTCTGAAGTGAGGTATTGTAATTATTTACATTATTTACATTGTTTGGACTGTTGTACTCATCTTGATTGCCATATTCCATGTCTTCAAGGACACATGGCTCAGTGGATAAAAGTGTTGGTTGGACCCAGTGATCTGACCCAAAGAGTTGTAAGTTCAGTACCTGGTTACAGCAGTGGTAAACAAAAAACTTGGAGAGTTGAGTTGATGGTAGCTAACTGTGACATCCAGAAGAGGCATAGCACATGTAACTAGAGCAATCTACTCCCATGGATGAAATAAAGGGCTCAGTTTATAATTCCAATCACCTGAAGAAGGCCAGATCATACAACAGCCGAAACATCATGAATATGACAATAAAGATGAGGACAACAATCCGAACAAAGTAAATAGCTTTTTAATCATGTAACCTTTTCATTTATAGGCATGAGAAATTTATTAAATTTTAAGCATGTTGGTTGCATTTACACAACCTGTTTAAAATTTTAAAAGAAACGTTTTTTTCTCATCTCATTGTTATTTATACAAAGTAATTTGTTCATTTCTACTTCTGAACCAGCAAACTGGAATATTATTTTTCACTACCAATTGTCTAAAAAATATTACAAGAAATAAATTTTTGAAAAAAATATTACCAACAATAAAAATTTTGTTGGCATTAACCCATTGAAGTTGATATGCCATAAAACAAACCAAACCAAAACCAATTGTCTAGAAGTAGTCACCTTTCACTGAATATGTAAGACTAGATTTAAAAATTTGGTTTTTCTCCATTCACTGTATACACTTTAACTACAAATTTACTAATAAATGTAATATAACAAGAAAGCACAATCTTTATATTAGTCATAATAATTATGAAATTCACTTATCATCTGACTGCTACAAGTGAAACTTGTGTTTTTTTCATTTAAAAGAAACTTTAATAAAATATGTTCAAATATCTGTGTTTTGAATAATCTGTTCAAAGAGAATTTTGATAAATGTTTAATTTTTTCTTATATTTCTTTTGTATAATACTTCTTCCAAAAAACATCCATGTTAAGTTATACATATATTAAGCTCAAATAAATGTCATTGTCGAATTAATTCTTTTCCCATATAA